TTTTTTTTTTTTTTTCCCAGATGATTTTAAATGCTGAGAGCCACTGATCGAACCCAAGCCCAGCCGGCTGTCCTGGTTCCCAGGGCTGGGAGGGCAGTCTGCCCAGAGGTGGCCCTTGGAAGTTCCTTCCCCACAAAAGTATGCCAGTGGCATGCATGTCTTTAACGCGCCTGTTGTAGCCGGGGAGCCACTTGTGGAAAAACAAAAGAGCAAGAGATATCAGAGGCCTGGCTGAGCTTAGAAACTCATCGTTAACTAACAGGATTAATAATATTATTTGGAGCTACAATGTAGTGATGGCCTCCCATGGGCAGAGCGATTCACAGCATAATCCTTCAAGGAAGGTTTCGGTTTTAGAGACAAACCGAGGCTCAAGAGGGAAGGGGACTTGCTCAAGCTATCTTGACCCATCTGATTTTATTCGGGGGCCGCTCATGGAGGCTTAGGCTATACAGTAAACATCCTCAGGCTTCTGGAAAGGCAAGCTTAGCGACGGACCCAGGCTGCACTGGAATTACACAGGGCTCCAGATTTCCTCACGGCACTTCCCCTCTCCTATCCGCATCTGTGAAATGGGCACGGTGTCTCCCCACTGCGACGTGTAAAGCGGGGAAAGGACAAAGAAATGGAGCTGCTGGCACACAGTGAACCCGGAGGGGAGCCGTGTTCCCTCTCTGCCCCTCAGCTCCTTATCTGAGAAACGGAAGCCAACGCCACCTCCTCTGGGGGGCTGTGGGTAAACCGAGAAAGAAGGGCGGGGGAGCTGCAAGGTGCCTAGTGCGGAGCCTGGTGCCTGCTTCTCTTTCCTGAGGGGCCTCTCTGGTAGGCTGTCGGAGGCAGCCGGGGGCTGAGCGAAGCCCGTGGAACATTCCCACTTACGGTTTGGTCAGATCCGCCGACAACGGCCGTGCCTGGAAGGGCTTTCTCCTGATCTCTGGCTTTGCCTCTGAGCTCTCAGCGGCCCAGCCTTTGATCCGCTCCTGGACGCTCACAACCGCTTTCCCACGCTCTGGGGCAGCCAACGGGGGCTCAGGGGTGGCCGGTGGGGGTTCCGATTCTGCAGCCAAAGCCAAAGTGCTCTCCTCCCCAAACAGGCTGATGCCCTTCTTGATGCTGCCCCTGAGGGTCCATCCACCCTCCAGCCGGCTTTCCCCGTCGGCGGCTCTGCTCCTAACCTCAGCAAATTCTTGGTCTTTTCCCGGCCTGGGCGAGAGGGGCGGGGGCACCTTCTCCGGCTCCCTGAGCAGCTTCACTTTCTCCTCCCCGGGGTGCTGGTCAACCGTGGGGGTGCCCCTGGCTGAGCCCCCAGCACTTCTGAGGCTGCCTGTCTCCGCCTGCTTAAAAAGCACCCTCTCCTTCTGTTCTCGGGGTTTCTTGGCTACCTCTGGGAAGTCTGAGTCTGGGTCACAAAGGCGAAGGTTTGCTTTGACCAAACACTCCCCATCCACTTTGGGCTCCGGGTCGGACCTCTCGGGCCCCCGACACTGGGCAGTGGAACCCGCAGTGGCCTCATCGGCCGCCTTCTTCAGCAAGGCCTCTCTGCTCTCAAACCGGGCCGTGAGGTCCACGGACAGGGGCCTGGGCCTCCTCACCCATGTCTTCTCAGGCGGGGTGGGGGGTGCTTTCCCCACCGCGGCCGCCCCGCCTGGGCCTGGCTTCTGAGGCTGAATGCATTCGATGAAAATGGCCGACACAGGCCTTCTCCTCTGGAGAGGCCTGGGCTCCAGAGCGAGGTCACCCGTGTCCTCCACACCGCTGGCCTTTGAGACAGGCTCGTTTGGGCCTTTCTCTTCTTGGGGGGCAGCTGGCCTGGTGTCCTGCGACAAGGAGGCCGGTCGGGGAAGGGTCGCAGGCTTTCGGGCGGGCAGGGCGGGCTTGGCGGCCACCTCGGGCCGGGAGCCCAATGCGGGCTCCTGAGACACGCCCGTGGTGGCCTCCCGAGCCCCCTCATTGGCCCCCTTCCCCAGAATGGGGCCGGCTTTGGTGGTTTCAAAGAGAATCATGGTGCTGGGTCGGGGCCGCGGGAAGGCAGCCTTGCTGAACGAAGACGAGCTTCTCCTCAGGCCTTCCCCGTTCCCCGCCTCCTGCCCCACCAAGCCAGGCATCCTCTCGCCCAGGTCCTTTGCCACCACGTCCTGGGCGCGCCCACAGGGAGACGGGCTGGTTGGGCCGGGCCCCAAGGATGGGACGGGGGGGTTCACGTCCAGGACCTTCTCCCTGCAGAAGGGTTTGGGGGCAAGTCTGGGCAGCGGGAGTAAGCGGGCCGGGCTCCTGAGGGGGCTTTTTCCTTCCAAGAGCAGCGGGGAGGGTGGCCCGGGGGTGTCACCGGCCTGGCGGAAGTACGTCCGCTTCAGGGTCTCCTCCTGGGCGATCTCGCCGAGGCCTGGCACTCCCGTCAGGGAAGCTATGGAGCCGACCTCAACCCGCGTCGCCATGGCTACGGTTGTGGGCCCATGGGGATTAAGAACATCCAAACTAGAGAAGCAAGCACTGAAAGTAAAAAAGAAAAGGAGGGGGGGAAAAAGTAAATTTAAATCTCGGTCCGTGTCTGGGCGCCTGGGTGGCTCAAGGCGGTTGGGCGTCCAACTTCGGCTCGGGACACGAGCTCACTGTTCGTGGGTTTGAGCCCCGTGTTGGGCTCTGTGCTGACAGCTCGGAGCCTGGAGCCTGCTTCGGATTATAAGTAAACATTAAACAAATAAA